TAATAAACTATGATATTATAAAAATCAATTATATGTCGTTGTGATATTTGGGGGAGGGCATACCTATGTGTTTGTTTGATGATTATCCACTCTTTATATTTTGTTTTAAAGATAAAAAGATTCATTTATTAGTTATTATTTACATGTCATATCAATGTTTTCAATACTGGACCGAATCGGATTGAACCGTGAATCAGATATATATTTGGGTCAAGTCAGCATGATCAATGGTAATTGTTAGTAGATTTTTTAATGAGTTATTTAAGATTAAAAATAATTAAATAATCAAATATTTTAGAAACTTAAAGTTTAGTTGCTAATTTTAGTATTTTAAGCACTTCAAAAATGGGTTATTAAAGTTAAAAATAATAAAATAATTTTAGCACCCTAACTCTAGCAACAATGGTTGATCATACTCTTAAAACCCAAACATAATTAGACCGTATCGAACCAGCAAAAACTCGAAAACCGACGAACCAATTCAACCGTATTATAGCATGTTTAATTAATAAATGTAAAAAATTTCAAATTTGTACTAAATTATTTGCTGATCATTGACACTCTAATTTTTCAAAAGTTATAATTACTAAAGTGTTTTGTTTGATGTTTGGATATTAAAATCATGAACATCAATAAAAAAAAGAGTAAATTAAGTAAATAACCAAAAATTATACCATATTTAGGAGATCATGCAAATTGGTGGGATTCCTTTAAAAAACAGTAGGAGATGTTGCACATGTTTTAGTTATTTAGCTAATTTACCTATAATTCTTAGTCATGTGATGTAAATACTCTAAAATTAAAGTATAAAGTCAAATCTAGTAATATTTTCAAAATATTATTGAATTTGGTTGAACTCAAACGGATCATATTAATCCATAACCCAAATGTTTTTTTTTAGGTTGTCGATTCGATTTTAAAAATATTGTGTCATATCTTTCTTTTTTTTTGTCTTATATGTCATATCTTTGTTATTGACACGTCAACTTTTCTCTAGATTTTGCTAACTTGCTTTAGTGGCCAAACTTTTTTTTAGTAAGACTCCACCGATTAAAGTTTAGTGCACATTTTTTTTAATATAAAGAAGTAAAGAAAATAGACCTACCTTTTTCACTCATGTTCTTTTGATGTACAATAGATATGTACGGTGGCCTAATAACTTAAATTTCAAATCTCCAAGACTTTTTGTACATTTGCAAAAGTAAACTAAAAGAAAAATTCCAAGTTTTTCAACATCGCAATATCTTTATTCTTCGTCTGGAAAAATATACATTGGAATCTTTGAAAAATTAAAACCCACAAGGTAAGCATGAATTTGATATGAGCATATCTTTGAGCATATTCTTTCGTGAATTAACAGAAACAAAAATTCCAATCTCCATGAGATATTCCACGTAAGTATATGCCTTAGGATCAAACCCCTATTTATTCCTTTCTTGAAGTGGGCTCTTAGTTTTAGCGTGACTCATGAATCTTCTGAGTTAGTGGAAGCTACTACAATTTGATTAACAAATTAGAGATTGTTTAGCCTATAATCTTTTTTAAAAGTATTCTTCATTAATTTTTTTTAAAGGCTTTCATTAAATAATAAAATTAAAAAGAACCAGACAACTAATTTAAAAACGTAAAACCATAAAACAGAAGTGTGAAGAACAAGAAAAAAAGAGGGTTGACATAGAGTCAACATATCACAACTTTAGTTGATACGCATAAGTCAGATGCTTGACCAGATTCGAAGAAGAGTCTCGCCTCGACCTGAATCCAAGTTCTCCATTGCAATGGATTTATTTTTCACAACCGCGAAGATCCTTTGAAGGATAAGTGAAGGAGAAAGAGTGGTACCGTTTGGAACGTTTGTTCCTCTCTTTCTAAATTTCATAAATGGCGGCTTGCCAACCTTGTAGAAGGGCTAAAGATCGATCAGAAGAAGTGCAAACCCTCTTTAACCAAGTAAGTATATCTTGCCAAGAGAAAGGAGGGTTTGGCAAATGAAGTTTATGAGTAATAGCCTTCCAAATTTCATGTGTGTATTGACAAATAAAAAAGAGATGGTCATGAGATTCAATGTCCTGGCCACACAGTAAACATGTTGTCTCCACATCTAATCCCCACGAAGCAAGACGTGATAAAGTTGGATTTCTGTCCAATGTGAAAAACCAAACCGTTATAGAATGCTTTGGAATAGCCGCCTTATGCCAAACCAGTGGATGCCAAGATACATGCGGTTTAACGTTATGAATATTATCCTAAGTCACTTTGAAAGAAAAAAACTTGCAAACTTTGTCCCCAACCAGTCATTGTGCAAGATCATAAACATTAGAATATGAGATAGTTGTGATGAAATAAACCAGCCATTGTTCTTCATTAATTGTTCCGCCCATTCATGAAATAAATGTGAACGCAAAAAATTCCTCTTCACACGCATGAAGGGATCCTATATATATTTAAAACTTTGAAACCTACAATATTTAAACAAGAAAGAAAATAAATAATCAACCATAATTTGACAGTTCTAAAGGAATAAATCTTTTTGTGTTGCATATTGCGTGATACCTCACATCACATGCATGCGTATTAGCATATGCATAATCATCCGATATATATAACATTTTTTAAATGACTAACTCCGATTAAA